TCACAACATTCTGCCTTCCTCGGCCTCTACAGTGCTGGAATTACAGGCAGGAGCCACTTTGCCCAGCTTGTTGGACAGGAACTATTAAACTCAACTTCAGAGCTGACAATTTATCTTAGATCCGATCTACTGAGTCAAAGTCTTCCCCTTACCTCACGATGCCACTCCGAACACAAGAAGACTTTGCAGGCAGCTGCTCTCCACCAGTCTCTCATTAACACAGGATAGCCACATGAAGCCAAGCATTGCTTTAAAGGCAACTCTCCATGGCTGTTTAGCCAATGCCAATCAGACAGAATGACTTCAACAATGGGCTAACTGAGCTCAGTAATTAGAAATTTCCAATTCCTCCTCTGTCTGAATCTATTTCTAGCCAAACTTTTCTCTCTTGCTTTGGACAAAAAGACGTTTTAAAACATCTTGAGGGAAAAATACTAACATGGCCCGTACAAAGCATGAGTAGTTCAGTCTCACCTGTGTTCCCCGTGGAGCTGCATGGGGTGGGGAGGGGTGACAAGGGGTGGAGAGGGACTGGGAGGGTTGGGGAGCAGAGGCTGACACAGCCATTGCACAGTTCTAACTCCTTTCTGTAATGCTTATTATTTTTGTATGTATTCAAATATACATAAATAATGTGTATGAAAACCCATATTTTCATCTGTAAATAATAATGGGTCTTTCCTTTATGGTTTTATGATGATTTTAAAATTTTAAATAAAGACACATATACAAAACCTGAAGAAATCACATACCACTATCAATGGATCCCTCTAATGTGCGGGCTGGGATTTGGCTAAGGTGGCTGACAAATTCTAATCTAGCCATTAGTGTCTATGAAAACAAAATAGTCATACTCTTTACTAAGTGAACACAGACGACCCTCAGTGACGTTCTTCAGTTCCTTCACCCAGCTCAGAACAGGGTCCTGAAGAGCTCTGCTCTGCCCTGTAAGTGTAAGAACACTCTTGGTGGGGAGGCTCAAGCTTGCTCTTCAGGAGGGTGGTGTGTTCCCGGGCTCGAGAGTTTGCTCCTTGACATCCATTTTGAGCTCCTGTTCTGTCACCAGTCCATCCATTGAACTTCCGGATTCCTAAACTGGTCTCTGAATCCTGGTCTCTGATGCACATGTCTGTAAACCTGGTACCTGGAGATTACCACCAGCCTGGACCATACAGGCAGGACCCTGCCTCAAAATACCAAGTGTAAAGGGGTTTCAGATTCTTTATTCAGAAAATGGAGACAGCAATGTCACATAAAGCACATAACTCCTGTGTGGTCTAAATCAGACCGCCCGCATTGGGGAGAGCAGTGCCAAGCGGCCTGCAGTAAGCACATCTTCCTGCCTCAATCCAGTAATCAAACCCGCCCCGGAAACAAGCCAACCCAATCCAAGGAAGGAAGATAAAAATAAAACAAAACAGGGAATTTGGAGCAGAAAGTGAAAGCAGTCAATTGTTGAATCCTGATTTCCTCTCTTAAACAGTTCTTGCAGGAAGTGGAGTTGAAATGGATGGCAGTTGTATCCCAGTAATGCTCAGAGTGGACTGGAAAGGGATTAAGGAGAGAAGATATCCCAAACAGGCAAAGCTGCGGTGGGTACCATCACCTCGTGTATCCGTTACTTTTTATTGTCCTAATAAAAACACCATGACCAGCAGCAACTTAAGGAGAGCTTATTTTAGCTTATTGTTGCTAAGCGGGGTCCATAGTGCCAGGGGAGGCATGACGCCCGGTGGATGTATGAGGACCTAACAGGGACTAGGCAACTGGGGAAGAGGTCAGAGGAAAGAGATAAAATTCCCACAGAAGCAGCTGAACCATCGAGAGATAATATCCCGGCTCGGCAGCTGGGATGCTTCCTCCTGGCCTTTGTTATCTCTTTGGACCAAAGGCCATCTAGGTTGAGGTGATGAAGTAATGAGAGGGGTGGAGGAAGTTAAGAAAAAGTGGGGATCAAAAAAGGGGGGAGCGGAGCCTCCCCGGTGGCCTAGCTGTGGGCGGCCGGGCATGGACCCTCAGGAGGCCACCGGTCAGGGGTCCGGCGAGTCAAGTGCGGGGCAGGTCTCCAGCATGGAGGAGGACTTTGCCGCAGCTGACCTCTCTGGTCAGGAGACAGAGACTGAGATGGCCATGGATGGACTAGCCAGTGGAACCCGGAGCATCCCTAATGACATTCCTGCCCATGATGAGGGCCCAAGTTTGGAAGAGGATGGATGGCTTTGCTGAGGAGAAGGAAGCTGTGGGGAGCTGTAGGCGTGGGAGCTGTCAGAAGGTCCACCCGTGGAACAAGCTGCTGACCTTTTCAGTGAGGACTGGGACTTGGAGCTGAAAACAGACCAAGGGAACCCTTACAATGCCGATTACACCCAGGGGAGCATTTCTCAAGAGATCAACCCCTGGTGTGCTGTGCCCCACACGGAGACGTGATGCATGACCCCAGTTGGCACCATCCACCTCCACTGGTACCGCATTATTCTAAGGTCGTCTTTGAAACAGGACAGTTTGATGATGCTGGAGACTAAACGGGTCACTTTTCAGCCTTGTGGGAGCTCCTGTGTTCTCAAGACTTGTCTCCTGTGTCTTCGGGGACATGGCCTATTGGAGGCACTGTTCCCAGTGGTCCCTCAGTATGGGCCACAGGCAGCTGTAGACTGGGTCCTGTCACTCTCCATTTTGTTGTTACTGTTGTTAATGAGCGCATTTTTGTCTGTGTTAAAGTTGTGTCTTTATAAATAAAGGAAGGAAAAAGTAACGCAGTTAAAAAAGGGTGGGTGGAGAGGGTGCTACAAAAGGTCAGCCCAGGGTCCTCTTGATGGTCTATAGCTCTGAGACACTACCTTTCCCAGCATGCTACTTTCTGCTTCAACAGACACCCATTTCTTAGTTCATTCCTGGGCATTCAGGTCTTTGCTGGACTCTGAGAACAGGGACTCCTGGGCAGCAAACATATGACCTTAATCCTTCCTTCCCCTGCCCCCAAAACAGCTGGTGCAGAAAGCTGAGAGATGACACTGTCAACCATTCTCAGAGAACAGGGGGTAAAGCAGAGAGTGGCAAAGCTGTAAGCTATCAAAGGCCACTCCCAGTGATGCTTCCTCCAGCAAGGCCATCCCTCCTACAGGCTCACCCAAACAGCATCACCAACTGCAGATGAGGTGCTCAAATACACGGGCCTATGAAGCGTGTTTCTCATTGAACCCGCCACACTCTGGTAGCAGAAGTATCTTCTGAACTGAAAATGTACAAGGAAGTCCTGGTGTTTGGTTACGGGTCTAGGAAGCATGGACTGTAGCAAGAGCAAGCATTTTGAATAGAGGCATGTGAGTGGATGTGTAGCTACCATGTTAGAGTGAAGCCTTCTGAGTCCCACACATACTCACCAGGAGCACCTGCTGGGTACAGCAAATGCCTGCCAATTCACGCTACCCAGCCTTCCTCACCAGCTGTTCCAAGCACACACAAAATGCATCTGGCTAACAGAGGCGGAAATGAGCCCAAGTGGCCTACTTGAGTAGCTTACAATATGCTCTCATATCTGAATCCCAGAGTCTTGTGACACACACGCAAGGCAGAGAGCCTCAGAACTGTTGCACAAGTCCAGTATCTGTGACCAATAAACACTGAGAAAGAACGGACTGAAGTGCTTGTGACCACATCAGAATAACAGTAGCCTAGCATCCACAGGGATGCTGGGAATCTAAGCTCTGACCCTCACATCTGTGCATGAAAAAGATACGGGACAAACACCAATGACTCACATCACTTAGAAATGAAAGTTTGGGTTACGGGTGGGGGGGACACGGACGACAAAACACACAGACACACGACACACCAAGGCCTGCTTTTATTAGGGGTGAGGAAATGCTTGCACACAAAGAAAGGACAGTTTGCAAAGCAAGGGGTGGATTTTGGAAGTCTGAAAATCCAGTCTCTCCTCAAAGGCTAGGGAAATATGGGACTGGAGAGGTCTCCCTCTTCTATTTTAGTGGTGGTCAGTTTGAACAAAGTCAGGGTGCTTTTCTGTGTGTTGTAGAGTGGGCATGGCATAACACAACAACCCCAGGGGAACCTTCTTGAAACAGGTTACAAAGTAATTTTAGATGTGATGAACATGTTCGTTTTGACTGGTGTGGTGATATATTGTTCATGATCTAATAAAGCTTGCCCGGAGATCAGAAAGCAAAACAGCCAAGCCACCAGAGAGTTCTTACCTCTACCCAGGCTGGGGCAATCCTGTCCTCAATGTGTTTGGAGATTGATTCCAAGCTCTGAAACCCTGTTCCTGTCTTATATACCTCTCTAGTGCTGGGAGTAAAGGCATATACCATCACCACCCAGCTTCTATGGCTAACTAGTGTGGCTGCTGGGATTAAAGGTGTGTGCCACCACTGCCTGATCTCTACGGCTAACTGGTGTGACTAGCTTTGCATTCTGACCTCCAGGCAAGCTTTATTAGATCATAAACAATGTATCACCACACTAAAGCAGTATTTGCAGATATGCATGTTCATCAAAATGCATCTAACTACACTAGAGGCAGGTTTGTACGTCAGTGTCTTAGAGTTGGTTTTAAAAAGCACCATTGGTGTTGTATTTTGGAATACAAATGAGTCACCATATCCTGCTCTCCTTTCCAATACCCTTCAGGCTCTATTCCCTTAAGGGACTCAAGCTTTCCTGGGGTCAGCTCCTATCTCGACAGCCAGTGAGATTTCTAAAATAAACTGTGATAATGGCACTCCTATATCATCCTTTCCTCTTGTCTCAGTCAAGATTCAGCCTGAGAAACAAAGCCATAGAAGTGAGCGCTTCATATACGGCTCAGGCATTACACAACTTCGAGAACTGTTAAGCATCTTCAAGTGCTGCTGCTGTGACCACTGACTGCCTTCTGGTGATGGAGTCGGAAACACACAGCAGGTGCAGGGAAGTTCCGGAAGACAACTGTAAAGTTCCAGTAGCCAACCAGAACCCACAAAGACAAGGAGGAACCGAAACGCTGACAAGTTCCTGTGTTTTATTTTGATGGCATGGGCTGGGGCTAGCTGGGCTTATCCAGTGTCGTGGAGCCAAGGGCATACTTTTGCAGGAGTTAGGAACAATTCAGGACTCAGGAAGAAACAGTTGCAGGCTCACTCACTGACTCCCATTAAGATTTAATAACATCTTTCATATCACTCGTAAGAAATCTCTCACAACCAACCCTAAGCAAGATGTGAATGCAGGGAAACAGTTCAGGCCAGCCAAATAGACACAATACAAAGCCAGTCTACCATTTCAGATCTTAAGTGGCTTATTACCCTCACTTCCTTGAAACTTGCCAGGTCCTCTGCGACCCAACATTTAACAGATCTTCTGGCATTATCTCCCAACCTCCCACCTTAAAGTATAGTGGATTTGTTTAGCACAAGTGTTTTAACTTCTAGAACTTTCTACACTGAATCCCCTCAGGCTGGAATATTGTTCCCTTCTCATCTTCCCCCTTAACTTGATATTTGCTGACATGGATGTATTCAGTTGTCTTTGGATCTTCTCTAGTGTATACTTTTGTTCTTACTGGTGACAACACAGAGCCCCCACTAAGTTCTCGGCTGAGCAGACACATGTTAATGGAAATTAATACTGATTACATTTAGTGTTTAAGCATTAAAGGAGGGAGAACGGCAGTCAGTCAATTAAACTAATCTGGGTTCGGTGGGTAACCACAAATTTATATCTACAGTTGGGAATTCATAGTCTGCTTGTTCTGCATGTCAAGTTTGGGGCCAGCCTGAGCTACACAGAACATTTGGAGCCAGCTTGTGCTACAAAGCAAGAGGCTATTTTCTTTTTTAATTGAAAAACTGGCTCCTCACGAAGGCTCAGCAGATAAAGGTGTTTGCAATGTAAGCCTGAAGACCTGAGTTTGATTCCTGGAACTCATATAAAAGTGGGAGGAGAAAACCAACTCCACAAAGTTGTCCTCTGACCACCACTGAGGCACATGCACCCGAAGACATGCCCCAACCACATACGGGTCTTAAAAACCAAGGACAAGGGGCTGCAGAGATGGCTCAGTAGTTAAGAGACCGGTTGCTCTTCAGAGGACCGGAGTTTAGTCCTAAGCACACATGTGGTGATTCAAATCCATCCACGACTGAAGTTCCTGGGGATCTGATGCCTGTGCACCAAGCTCAATGCCTTGTCTTGGCCTCTCTATGCACCAGGCTCAATGCCTTGTCTTGGCCTCCCTGTGCACCAGGCTCAATGCCTTGTCTTGGCCTCCCTGTGCACCAGGCTCAATGCCTTGTCTTGGTCTCTCTATGCACCAGACTCAATGCCTTGTCTTGGCCTCCCTGTGCACCAGGCTCAAACATGATACACATATGCATACACACATGGAAAACATTCATGCATGTTATTTTTAAAATATAAAAAAATTAAAACAAGAACAAGAAGTTTGGGGTAAAGTGTGGAAATGCACTAACTTCTGCAAAAGGCACATAACCATTTATCCTCTTTTACCCCATTTCATTGTGTGAGCCGCAGAGAAAGCAGGGACGAAGAAAAGGCAGTTTGTTTGGGGATGACTCATGGGATAGGGATAAAAGCCATGAAAGCAGAACAGGGACAGAAAAGTTGAAGGTGTCCCTGAGCCGGGAAAATGCCGTGGCACCTGAAGGAAGCTTCGCTTCAGACCTGAGGGACTGAATAGAGATAAAGCACTTACTCTGAAGTAAAGGCCCCGCCTACCAAGTGCTTCTCTGACTGGTTGTCACCTCTGGGTAGCTTGTTCCTCTGGCTTTAGAGGAGAAGAGCAGCAAAGTAGAGGGCCCGCTGACTCTCAGAGTGGGAAGCTGGTGGAACATTCCCACAGACACAAAGGTAGACTGCAGGAAGGTGGCCTAATTTACCAACGGTGTCTTTCACAAAAGGTCTCTGTGTCATTCTTCACGGCAAAATACACCCAGAACAAGAAATGTCAAACCAGTTTCATTTCCTCTTTCCAAGAAATGAAAACTTCATAGTTCTGGGAAATTCCACTAATGACACCTGGATAGGTGACTAGGTCATCACTGGCTGACAGCTGCCCTCAAAGGATGCTGACTGATGGCACGTCCTCCTACTTATATAATTCCTTCTTATGTGTTGTGCAAAAAATGGTGACTCTGGAGTCATAACACGCAGCAACACAGCCTTGCTTGGAGGAGCTAGTCTCTAAATAAATATCTGAAAAGGACAGGAGTTATTTGATTTGGAGCATTAGGAAAATATAAATCAAATAGTTGATGGGTGCAGGTTATTTTGTCCCCCAGAACACATAAGGCAATGTCTAGAGACAAATCTGGTTGTCACTAGTTGCCAGTACTTGGTATCTCACAGGAGACACCAAGTTGCTTTAAAATACAAAGCAACTGGCAGCCCCTTCCCTAGCAAGAACTGCCCTCCTACAAATACCAACTGTGTTAAAGACATCTGGGTATTGATTTTAAACATATGGACATGCACGTTATTTATACATTTATGACAATTAAAAGGCAAAGTTTACATGCCAGCAATACAAAGTGTTGCATTAGTACCTCCAAACCCAAAGGAATTGGTGAGTCCAATACATCGCCCCTCAGTTTTCCATTCTTGCGCCTTCAGTGGAACATAATTGAGATCAAATTCTGGCTCTGTGCAATCCAGGTTTAGAGTTGGTGGTAGTTTTTGATGGTAACAAGCCAGTGCAGTAAAAGCTGCCTCGATGGCCCCTGCAGCCCCCAGCAGATGGCCGGTGGCTCCCTTTGTGGAGGATATGGCAAGGGCGCCAGCATGGTCTCCGAAGAGCCTCTTGATGGCTCTGTTTTCAGCAGCGTCGCCCAGTGGTGTGGATGTGGCATGCGCGTTGACATAGGATATCTCTTCAGGCAACACACCTGCATCTCTTACAGCAGCAGCCATGCATCTGGTAAGAAAACAAAATCATCAAACGAATTTAGCAGATTATTCATTCAAGTAGTTTGTGTGAAAGAAATAAAGGTTTCCAGGTGCACAGGGTGAGCTCCATCCGGAGTGTCACAGCAGAGACCCTGTGATTCACAAAGCCAAAAATAACTAGTATTTGTCCCATATAGGAAATCTCGCTAACACCTGGCAGTTTTAACTAGATAAAACATAATATGGTCTATCCTGGGCAAATAACACTATCTGGGACGTTCTTCAAAGCATGGTCTTTAGACAGAGCTGATTAGAAATGCAGACTCTTGAGTGTCAACCTAGATCCACAGTCAGAATCAGCCATCGGCAAGACCCCAGGTGCTCAACTGAGAAATGCTGCTTTACAAAGGACAGCAGCCAAGCAGACACATCTGGCAGGACTTGTCTGTATTCTCCAGGTCTGAAAAGGGTTCAAAGTGTGTCTGGGGAAGGGAACACTCATGATTACCAAGCAGAAAGGAGGACATAATGAGTCAGCAAAAATACAGCTCTACTGGCTTTGACTAAAGTCCACTCGATTTTTGTTTAAAGATGTTCAAATGCTTTCCAACAGTTCAAAGAACTTTTTAAAAATACTTTTAGTTTAAGATAGAAAATATATATACTATACACCAAGACTGGATAACACTTTTTGAATTTGAAGTTCCAATAGTGTCTTCCAGGAGAAAATATATTGAACAGAACCAGTCTTTACCTGAAGGCACCTTCTCCTTCAGAATCGGGGGCAGTTATGTGACCAGCATCACCCGAGAGTCCATAGCCCAGAACTTCTGCATAAATCCGGGCTCCTCTCTGAACAGCATGTTCACGTTCTTCCAACACCAGCACAGCAGCACCCTCGCCCATGACAAACCCATCTCGCTCTGGATGGAATGGTCGGCAGGCCAGCTTAGGATCCGGGTTCATGCTCAGAGCCCTGGCTCTGGAAAACCCAGCAAGCGATAAAGGACTAATGCAAGAATCTGTGCCCCCGGCCACCATCACATCGGCATCGCCATGGGCTATAAATCTAAAGGAGTCTCCCACAGCATGTGCTCCTGTTGTGCAGGCGGTGGACACTGTGTGATTGGGGCCCTTGAGTTTATAGCGAATGCTGACCTGGCCTGCGGCCATATTGACCAGAATCTTAGGGACAAAGAATGGGCTGACTTTATTGTAGCCTTTGGTCTGAAACAACAAAGCAGTTTCAGAAACAACTTCAAGAGGAACCATTCCCATGCCAATGGCCACGCCAGTGGCCACCTGATCAGCTTCTGACTTCGGATGCCAGCCAGAGTCCGTCAGGGCCAACTCTGCTGCCGCTATGGCCATGATGGTGGGCGACGACATGGCCTTGGTGTCTGATTTGGACACAAAGTTTTGCTCATGGAACTGACCTTCATCAGTACCTCTTGGCACGTAAGCAGCTACCCTGCAAGGAATACTCTTGTACTCATCACCAACCACAGAAACAATTCCACTCTCTCCTCGGAGAAGCCGATCCCAAACTAGTTGAGTCCCAACACCAAGTGGTGTCACTAGTCCGATGCCTGTGACAACAACTCGCCTATGCAACATGACTGCTGGCATCGTTCCAGAAAACTTGCGTTTGCTTAATGAGCAACAGCATGACGCTGGATACGGACGAGAGCGTGAGGCTTTTAGAAAATTTTGTAAGCAGTTTGACAACATGGTTGAAATTCAGAAGATCAGAAACACGTTCCTGGAACAGAGACAGCAAGTGCCGTTTAAACAACGGAAAGATCTAACAAATACCCTCGGTGTGCTTAAATGTCACCCTCGTGTGGGCATAGCCTTTGCTTTTAAGCTAGGAGGGACCTCGGACAGCCAACTGAGAGCAACCTCACTAGTTTTCAAGAAAATTGGACAGGGAAAGCCTGGAGGCCACCCCACCCTGATCCGATTACAGGTGGCATCCTTCTCCAGGCTCAGCGAGGATTGCTGATTGCTGTACCGTGTGGACTGAGTCGATGTGACATTTCTACGGTCAAAGCACATTAAGTGCCCTTTATCTACTTCCGTGTGGGGCAGCGAACCTCTCCGGAAGCCCCACCACAGCCCCGCGCAGCCGTGGCAGGCGGGGAGTTACTCCCCGAGGTCGGCATTAGGAGCTCTCAGGGTTACACGCCACGCCCTCCACCCCCACCCTGAAACCCGGGTGATAGCCGCCGCTAGGAAGGACGCCGGCCACTACCTGAGACGAGCCTTGGCGGGCGCCCACCCTGTGCGCATGCGCGCACTCTCCCTCCCAGCGCGCAGCGTTTCCGCCCGGAGTGTCAGAGGTCAGACGAGCGGGGGCAGGACTTCCGCCAGGTTCGGCGACTGAGAGCCCGCCGCTCGGCCTCACGACCTTGTCTTGCTTATTTAGCGATCCTCACCTTAACGCTCGGTGATAATGCCCAGATATTTCGGTGTCGCCAGAGAAGGAACGCAATCATTGCGTCGGGGCCCCTTGGCATGCGTGGGGCAAGTATCGACTCGAACTCGTCAGAATGCCACACACCACGATACCGAGGTCATTTGGTCATCCAAATGCCACGCAGCCACTGAAACAGTGCCAGGGGTGAATATTTCATAGTGTGCAAAGACGTTGAGAGTATTTGTCAGGCGCCGTAAAACAATACAGCGCTTTCAAACGTCAAAGTCTGCAAAGAAATCGGGCGTGATGGTACGTGCCTGCAATTTCAGTACACGGGAGGCAGAGGATCAGTACCTACCTGAAGACCCTGTCCTTAAAAAACAAAACCTGAAGTCTATGGTGATGAGTAGTGGTTGTGGTGTCCCCTCTCCATTTTTTTCTTACCCCTATTTACCATAGTAGTCCAACAATGTCTAGTAAATATATGACGCTTCTTTGAAATTAAACTTTTAATTGCTGACTTATGGCAGAAAGTGGATGGAGTATGCCCAGTATCTGAAGTGGAAACAAGAGCTAAAAGCACGTTTATCCCTGAGCTTATCAAAAGTCCAATTGAGCTGACTGTGACTCTGCAGTGGGAAAGTATAAGCAGCAACACAGCAAGGAGTTGTTTACTAACCCTCTGTTGAAATGTCCCAGGTGTGAGCTTTGTTTTTCCTTCTTCAGACAAATGGTCGACTATGCCATCTGCAGCTGAACCTTTCAGTCATGCTTATGTTTCCTTGTGGGCGATACCGCTTGTGGCCATTGTTGCCAAGTATACTGCTATTTCTCCTTTTCCCACTGTAGAAAGGAATTTGGGTCAAGTTCAGCTTTTCTTTCATTAGTCCTGGATATGATTTGTTTGGTAGTCTCCTTTTCTGTAATGTTTAGGGGAGCCAAGTTTGTCCCCGATGCCAGCACTCTCCCCTAGCTTAGTGTTATCTCCCTGACTGAAAATAATGTGACTCCCGCCTGTACCTTTTGACAGTTTATATGGAATACTGCCCCATTGCAGGCAGCCTCAAGTCTCAAAGGTGCTGGGTATATAGGCTGCGGAAGGCCAGCTGAAAAAAGAACTCTTGTCTGTGCAGCCGCGGTGAGTCATGTCACCTCCAGTGCTGCAGTGACACTTCCTGGTGGTGCAGAGGTGTTGAGGTCTCCCACACTTCTGTAAGCAACTCCCCCATCCATGCTCTGTGTAAGCTGAACAAACTTAAAGGTACTCCAAGATGGACTTAGGGGTTCTTGCTTTGACCTTATAGTCATGCCCTTTAAGGAGATATTTGTTTGCATCTTCTCAGGGAAAGAAGTCTCAAAGCAACACACACACACACACACACACACACACACACACAAGTGATATAACAAGACTGTAATTTCTATTTATTTTTCTCTCTCTGATCATTTTACTTCCATCTGGAAAGGGGTAAACATTTTATAAAACCCTAATAGCCATATGTGAGTTAGTACCACATTTCTTGCCAAAATATCATGGTATATTGAACACAAATCTTCAAATTGGCTCTGCTTATTGTAGCCTTGCTGTAAAATGTCTCCTGCTCAAAGCTTTATTTCCAGATACAGTTTCCAATCAAACTTTCTATCCAACAAGTTGAACTTCTCACTGTAATATTATTGTAACACAAAGGGGACAATGAGGTAAGTGCTAACTCAATAAATTCAGGAAATGCTTAAAAGTAGCCGGCCTTGATTTCAATCTAAAAATGAATGAATGCATGGCTAGTAACTTGGGTGGAAACAGGCATTCTAGTAGGCACCAGATCCATTCGGCCACTGTCAAATTTGAGAAGTTAGGCTCAGTAGAGCTTTATTACCTGAATCCCATTTCCAGAACTCCTTTGTTTTGTTGTTTTGGGGTTTTGGAGACAGGGTTTCAGTGTGTGGCCCTGGCTATCCTGGAACTCATACTGTAGTTAAACTTTAATCCCAAGTGCTGGGATTAAAGGTGTGTGCCACTACTGCTCAGCTGTTAAAGGCTAGCTCACAACCTTTCCAGAACTCTTATAGTGGAAGGAAAGCGCCGACTCTCAGACATTGTCCTTTGATCTCCAAATGCCATGGGCAGGGCATGTGTATGTGTGTACCACACACACACACACACACACACACACACACACACACACCTGAATAAATAAATAACATTCTAAAATAAAAATTTGAGGGGCTGGAGAAATGACTCAGAGGCAAAGGTCCTACAGTTCCAGAGGGTTAGTGTCTATAGTTGTGGGAACAGCGTGGCAGCAGGCAGCATGCATAGGTGCTGGAGCAAGAAGCTGAAAGCTCAGGCTGGAGAAATGGCTCAGAGATTAAAAGCCCTGGGTACTCTTCCAAGGGTCCTGAGTTCAATTCCCAGCAACCACATGATGGCGCACAACCTTCTGGAATGAGATCTGGTGCCCTCTTCTGGCTTGTAGGTGCACATACAGACAGAACACTGTATACATAATAAAATCTTTTAAAAAAAATCAAAAAAGAAGCTGAAAGCTCACATGCTTTACCATGAGGGAACTGAAAGTAGGACAAGGATATTTGCAATTTCAAAGCCTAACCCCAGTGATGCCAGTGATGTATGTCTTCTAAGAAGGCAGTATCACCTAAATGTCCCCAAACTGTGTGACTGATGGGAAACCATGAGTTCAAATACTGGAGCCTGTGGAGAACATTTTTCATCCAATCCACCACATGTCACTCCCTGGTCTTCATAGACTCCTGGCCATATGATGCAAAATGCACTTATTGCAACTTCAAACGTTCCTATAGTCTTTCACAGTCTTAACACGGTTTAAAAGCCCAAAGTCTTTTCTAAGATATAAAGAATCTCAGAATGAGCCCTCTGTAAAATCAAAAGGCAAATCACTTATTTCCAACATAAGATGCAGAATATACATTACCATTCCAAAAGGGTGGGAGTGGGGCATAGTAAGAAAATTCTGGGCCAAAGCATGAACACAACCCAGAACAAACGCCAAGTCCTATCTATAGCTCTGTGTCTTCTGCCAAGGGCTTAGATAGCTCTACCCCTGCAGTTTTCCTGCCTGCAGCATCCATCTCTCTCTTGGGCTGGTCCTACTGCCTATATGCAGCTCTCCTTGGCAGCTTTCTCATGGTGTTGACGTCCCCAACATCCTTTAGTCTCCACTGCAACCAAGTTTCCCTTTCACAACTCCACACAGTTGTCTCTAGCAGCCTCTTACTCTGGAGCCTTCACGCAGGCACTCTCCTGCCACATGTTGCCTGGTCTCAGAGGTTCCCTGAAACCACAGAGGGAGGACCTATGACCCCCTTACTCTTGTTTCTTTTGTGTCCAAAGCCAACCCCATGGGGCAATACAGCCAAGTGTAGCTACCAGCTTGGGATGGCTTCTTGAATCACATCATCAGCAATACTTTCATTAGGTTGTTTCTAGGATCAGAAAATGCTTAGGTTGTCTTTTACACGTCGGAAGCTTGACTAGGTGGGGTCTTGCATAGAGTACCTTTTCCCTTTGTTCCATGCAGGGCAAGCTTCTCCTTAACCATGCTAATCTTCCTCTCTCCAGCACATGCCTCGGCTGCAACATTAAGATTCCTAGAGCTCCTTTTCTCTACAATCTGTGCATCTCATCTCGTTTTCTAGCCCAAATCTCCAAAACCCTTCCATAGTACTCCCCCCAAGAACCAACATGGTCAAGTTCATCACAGCAATATCCCATACTCTGGGTACCAATTTCTATTATGTTAAGGTTCAAATGAGACAAACGGCTGAGCTGCCTATTTAACACATCAAAGCAGACCTGGCCACCAGGTTCTCCCAGAATCCCTCACTCCATACCTGTTACAGGGTATGACTTACAAACCACCCACCCCCTTCTACCCTGAACTCTCTAGTCCAGGGGTAGGGTGCCCTTCCCCAGAGGCTCCTCCCTACATAATCCAGACATTTTGGTTACTTGCCTCTCTGTACTTTCGGGCCTCCTGGCAGCTGCACTTGGCTCCCCGCTCTCCCCTCACCTCCCCCTCTCCCCACATGGGTCATGTCCACTTTGGACTTTCTCAGGGGTCCCTGCCTTTGGCTGTGCTCTTCCCTCATATCTACAATAAACTTGCTTCACCACCGCACTAGGGGCAGTCACGTCCTTTCCTTTCCTTTCATTTCTTTCACTTTTTCATTCATATTAGCACTAAGTTTTTCTCTTGCTGTGATTAAAATGACAAATGAAGGCAACTTATAAAAGTTGCGGTGGGTTTTGTATGTTGTGTATGTTGACAGGGTCTGGTGTAGGCTGGTCCCAAGTTCACTATGAAACTAAGGCTAACCTTGAACTTTTGATTCTTCCTCTGCCTTCAAGTTCTGGATTTTCTAACACGTCCAGCTGAACACACATCCTTGAAGTTGGTCCACAAACCTAACTGCTAAAAATTTAGGCATATTTGACAGATGAATATTCAGAAGTTCTAAGAATTCTTAGACAAACTTGCCCAGAAATACTATATTTCAAATGTTAAAAAGCAGTAGATAATAAGTGCCAAGAAAATAAGTTAAATATGTAAATATCTTTAAAATGCAAGGCCAAGAAATACTTGCTAGCCATGCCTTGTGGTTCATGCATGTAATTCCAGCTATTCAAGGAGAATGGAGTACGGAGAGCTCCGGGTCTGACTGGGCGATGAATTGAGGTCAAGTCCACCTTTAGTGTCATCTCATCACTAAAAGGTAATAATAAATCCGGGTGGTGGTGGCCCACAACTTTAATCTCAGTACTCAGGGGGAAGAGTCAGGTAGATCTCTGAGTTCTACAGAAGCCTTGTCTACAGAGTTCCAGAAAAAAATAACAATAATTAAATGAAGGGCTCAGTATGTAGATCAGTGCTGGAGCCACAGCCTCCATGTAGGAAGGCCTTCAGGTTCAATCCCAGTAACAAGGACCAAACACATTTGGTGAAGTTTAGAATTTTTGCAAAAAAGTAAAATAGAAAAAAGTTACTGGTATTTAATCTATCAAGGGTATGATGAGGCATTGACTGGACTAAAGAGGTTAGGAATTCATTTTCTTTTCTTAATGTGCATTTATGTTTTGCCAGAAGTGCTGGGTCCCCTGGAACTGGAGTTATAGACAGTTGTGAGCTGCCATGTGGGTGCTGGGAATTGAACCCAGGTCCTCTGGAAAAAGTCAGTGCTTTAACCAC